TCCTCCTCACCCACCGCCGCCATTGTTTTTTTGTGGAAGGAATGGTGAAAACGCAAAAAAAAAAAAAAGAAAAAAAAAAAAAAAAAAAGAAACGGTGCCAGTTAATATCCCGTTGGTTTCTCAGTCAAATTGACATACGTTTCATTACATCAATCAAAAATACAAAACATGCGCAATAAATTCCTTTTTTTTTTTTTTTGCTGAATTTCCTTCATATATATATATATGTATATTTAAATGTGTGGATGAAACATCATGATCATCATCCTCACTTGCTTTTTTTTTTTTTTTGTTGTTGTTGTTGTTTCCCTCTCCTCTCCCTATATATCGCTCTCTTAAATGTCCCTTTCTGGTTTCTTTTTTTTTTCTGTGTGTATGCATGTATGTGTGTTTCAGTCCATATATATATATGAATACATGTATATATTAGGTTCTTTCCTTTCCCTTTTTTTTTTTCTCTCTCTCTCTCTCTTTTGTTATTGGATGAGTGTGGCGAGAAAGTCCCTTATGCGTCTACACAGACGTGTAAACGCGCAAAGCCCCAGTCACGGTACAAGTAGGCACAAATAGCCGCCAACTGCCACCGGACGATCCACACACTCTCCCCCTTTTGTCGTTGTCAACAACAACAACAAACAAAAAAAAAAACAAAAAAAAACATCAACAAGTACATAAACAAAAACAAAATGAATGTGTGCATGCGTATCGGGTGGGATAAGAAGCGGGGCGCCTGTTTGTTTCTTCCTTTTTTTTTTTTTTTTTTTTTTTTTCGTGTCTCCATCCATCCGTGGACATCCTCCGCTACGGGCAGACTGGGAGGCTGGTGTGGTGCGAGCAGGGCAGACATGCGTTAGTCTCGACAATAAAAAACTCACTCGGGAACAGAAACACACACACACACACACATTGGAAAAACAACAACAACAACAATAACAATAACAACTCACGTCACTGCGTGCGCCATCACACGTGCCTCTTATCCATCCATTCACACCGTCCCCGTAGCGCTGACAAAGAGAAAGACGACAACGACCACCAACACTACGTTCATAATTCAACACGCAGTCAGAGTAATCGTGAATTGTATTATTATTGTTATTATTATATCAAAAAACAACAACAACAACAACAAAAAAAAGCATACAGGAACGGAATTCCCTCATAATAATTGTATTCATAAATAAACATAATAATGAAGATAAAAGAAGCAATAATAATAATAATAATAATAAGCATTACATCTTGGATGAGTTCTGGGTTTCCACTTCGTCGACAGTACGCACTAGTTGCATGTCGTACCCAAGACTCTTCAGGCACGTCTTGACAACGCGCTGCATAATTGGCGGGCCGCAGATGGCCACCAACAGATCTTTTGCCGGCGGTTGTACGGATGAGCTCAGAAGCTTCTTGTCAATGAACCCAACGCCGTCAGTCCAAATTGGTGGAGGGCGATTCAAAACAAAAATACTGCGAAACTTTCCCTTTGAATCTCGCTGGTGATGTTCAAGCAGTTCGCGGTACGTGAGCTCCGAGACATCTTCGGCAGCGTAGATGAGGCGGATGCTCTCGATATTTTCAAGGAACGGCTTCTTGAGTGCGGCACGAATGATCTGCAGCATCGGTGCCACACCTGTGCCGCCGGCAATAAGGCAAAGTTTTTTGCG